TGAGACCTGTATTAAAATACAGAAGCGTAACGTAACATAATACAAGATACGGAACGACCTCGAAAGTTGTAGCGATGCTTAAGTTATTCCACTTTTAATAATCCAAGATAAGACTGCATTAATTTATCTTAAGTAAAATGATCTTTATATTAATTCTTAATTATTTATAAATAGCAGCTCGATTAGGCAAACATCAATTTGAATACCTTTGATTAATGATCATTGACAGATTGAAAACGTCCGCAGGGACGACTTGAAAAAAACATGATTGTCAATCTCGTTCAGCCGAGTTTTCCGCCGTGGAAAAGCTCGTATGTTCGGTATATACGCGCGAAATTAGACGATGAATCTTCTATGAGTCATGTTTTGTTCTTACTTCTAGCACATCACTAGATAAGCCAGCGCCAGCGTTACGCAAAGAAATATCTTTCGGAGGAGGAGAAATATGCGCGATTGAATAATTAATTAACGAAGAAACACGTCTATCTGAGATCAACGACCTTGAATTGAATGTATTTTTTCCTACGGTAATGATCAAGCAAAAATATTTTTATTTATTTTAGAGACATTTTAATTTTGCAGCGTCGCTAAAAAACTTTTTAATATTGATATTACTAGAAAATATGTAATATTATTTTGAGAGAGATGCTTTTTATACATATAATTTTTATTTCCTACACTCACACAGTCCTTTTATATCAAGTTTGCCTTTAATTTTTATCGTTAACGAAGATATATACTATTAATTAAAATTAATTAAAAATAAGTGAAGATAAATTATATGAAGATAACTAAATATAAATTTCTTATTTTCGAGAAAAAGAGAGAGAGTGTAAAACTTTAATAAAATAGATTAAAAGATGTTCTATAAGAGCAGTTAGGACTAGATAAGAAACGAGAGAGCTCTTATTTCTGTGGAATAATTAACATTTTACCTGGTATATATAGTTGTGGATTAAACGAGGAAATTTCTCTCTGCCTTTACCTTGACTCGAGGGAAATTATAACAAAGATGTAAGAAAAAAAAGCTTACATGTTTATATATACCTCGTACCAAATTTACGTTGTTTACACGAGTCTTATTACCAAGTAATAAGACCATGTCTGACAGAGTTAAATAAAGAACATTATTTAAATAAGTAAATGTTGTTTTATTTTAATTTCAAATAAGTAAAGATTAGCTGGGAAGTAATAAACCTCGCGTAAACGGAGAGATAAAGTAGAATGTATCTAATTACATAACAAACAAATTTATTCAATCGCTCAGACTAATAAGGAAAAGGAAAACGAGGATACTTAAAAAAGAGCAACTATTATTTTAGTTGCTCTCACAATATATATCGACGTGTATTCAATTTATAATATAAATTTGAGTACGTTAAATTTACATAAATGTATTTGTCTTGATTATTAACAACTGAAAATAAAATCTAATAAAACTAGAAATATATTTCTGAAAAGTCAACTTTAGAGAGGGAGTGAGAGAGAAAGAGAGAGAGAGAGAGAGTTTAAATCGCATGAGAAGCGCAACAGATTCGCGTGCTTGGATAAGGATTAATGGGGATTTAGGGTTGACTTCCCGATCCTTAAGACGCATCGCAGACATCGGATTTGACGAACTCGGGCCTCTTGTCAACATTGGAGAACCCTTCGCCGCCAAAGTTCCGTTGTTCTTATCCGAGCTGGTCGGCCAGTCGTCGACCGACCAAGAGCGGCTCTCTACTCAATGAATGATTTCCGCGCGACGTTGCCATATTACGTCTGCATTCTGCACCCATTACTGCATCAACCATGCTTTTTCTCCCGTTCGCTCGAGCATGGACGATCACACGCGTTGCGTAACGCATCTGGCGTATTTATTGTTTCGTAGCCTGTTAATGAAGCGGTTTCGTGATGGCGGTGAGCTAAATACTGGTTTCGCCAATGTCGAAACTCCCTCCATTAATTGCATTTGCTGCACGATTTGTTTTTTTAACTTCTAACATCGATTAATTATACAGAAAAAAATTTAGTCTGCTGTTGAAAAACAATATTTAGCAATTGAGATGAACGTCCATGCTCTCTGCGTATAATATTTACGTGGAAAATTTATTCTACAATATGTTTGGATATAGTAAAACTGTAGACGAAACTAATATTTCGGAGTCGATTCTTTATGTAGTTGTAATCGTGTATTGAGGATGATTGATCATCACAAACGGGAGTACGTGATTCAGCTACAACGCAATATAAGCGCGGTACTTCCTCGAGAAAATTCTCGGTGGAAAAGCAAAAGAAGATAAAAAATCTTAAGCGCGTACCTATCATGCCGGAAAAATCCGCGCGTTATTAAAATCCGATCGAGAGAAAAACAACAAAGTAAAGTATAAAATAAAATCTTGAAAACCTCTTCGCGAAAGAGACGAATTTTATTTATAATTAAGATTTGAATTGGCATATTATATTTTAATCAAAGTTATCTTATTACTTTTTTTTATTATTATTCTTTTTATATAAAATTGCACGGGGAAAGAATGCAACTAAAATGTTATTATATCATTTCGATCAACTGTTCGTGAAATACGATTACGCAGGCTCCCATTGTATAATCGTATTAACATCATCGAGCGATTAATCACATACTGATATGAAAATCGCGAAACTTTACCTTCGTTATCGATTAATTATCTCATTTAATAGACAGAGCAAATATTAATCTCGAAACCGCGCGATAATATTTGATATGACAGTTCCGGTCGGAAGAGATCACACGCCTTTCTTATCGTCTACACGTCTACAGCAATATCCGTGCGTAAGAGACTCGTATTACAAATTGAAATATTAAAACAGTTAAGACAGAGATTTATTGCTGTTAGCTTCCTGCGTGACGTAATGTAAAAGCACAATGCGAATCGCAAGCAATTACGTTGTACAAGTAATAACGAGAACATTAGTGGCTATGTAATTGATACTTTTATACGCGTATGTGATAATATTTTATACTGCGATAAAAAAAAGAACGCGTCGCATATACTGAAAATACAGTAAAACTATGTATAATTTCCATATTTAACTATCCATTCTCCTTTGCTGTCTATCCTCCCTTGCTATCCACGCAATTTCCCGTGTTTCCCAAAGAGCTACGTTTAAAACGTTACTTCCATGAGATAATAAAGGGCCGTGTAATAACCTCGCACGCACGAGGAAGAGGAGAGAGACAGGAAAAGCAGGACTACCGGCGCCATGGTGCACCGCCTCCCTTTGTCCCTTTCTTCGCACAACGACCGACGACCTCGCACGATACCCGACCGCGATAGACGAGAAGTCCAGGTAGGCTCGACAAGTGAAAGAAGACTCGGAAAATTCCCCAAGTATACTGGATGTTCGAGGAAAAACTATCTCCGTCGCGCAGGACTAACGCTCGTCTCGCTAGCAGTATTGACTTCGTCGTTCGGGACACCGTGTAGACAGTGGTCGACGCACCGCACGCACGCACGCACGCACGCACGCACGCAGTCCACGCACGCGGGGTTTGTTTACAAGTCGTGCCTCTTTCGCGTTTGCTACCGGAGTTCCTTGACTCGGAATCCAAGTGAAACGACGATGTGATTCTTTACCTTGCGTATACACAAGTCGCACGCGCGTTTCGTCTTCGTCTTTCCCTTCACCCGTCCTTGCCATCCCCCTCTACCACCATCCTTTCTAGCTTACCTGTCGACGTTACCCTTCGCTGTGTCGATTATCTCGATTCACCGCTGCTGCCTTGCTAATCGCGTCGACCGAGAGGCGGTGTCCGTCGATTCTCAACCGCTCGTAAATCACGCAACCGTCATCGATGAAAATGAATCGCCGGCGATTATTGTTCGAATAATCGAAACGCGGTGGATGTCATCGTCACTCATTAACTAACTCTTCCGGCGACAAAACTCTCTCTTTTTCTCTCTCTCTCTCTCTCTCTCTCTCTCTCTCTCTCTCTCTACCGGGATTTGCATTTACGAGGCAATATTTACGCCGCCCAACTTGTTAGTTTATTTAATGTAGTTGGCATCAAGAGCCGAAATGCACGCTCGCATAAGAATCAATTAAATAAGCGATAAAATTCACTTTGAAGTTCATTAGCAGTGAGCACTTTGCGTTTCACAACTTTTACGAGTCTCGCGTTTCTATTGATAAAATTCCATTCCAATTCAAGAATAAATAATTTATAATATACTGAGAAAAGATTAAATTCTTTGATCGTAAATATTAGAATTTGTCAGAAAAAAAAAATTGTTTCACAAATTATGATAAAATATTTGAAAGTAAATATAATTTTGGGGCAGTCTATCGTTATACGGTAAAACTTATTTATTAAAAAAAAATGCAATAATATTGAAATATATCGAGATCATGTATATTCATCAAAAAATAAATACAATGCGGTAAAATGCTTACCGCACTGACGCGATAATTATTTCCAATATCATCGCAAGTAGACAGAATAAAACGTGGCAGACATGACTGTCGTAGATAAATGAGAATATTCACGCTCTGTATAGTAGAATACCATAGAACCGGATCGACCGAGAAGAATGCATCGTCCGATTGTTCGTATTCAATCTATCCAGGTAGATATACGAAGTAACCGATCCAATAGAGAAAGACTCTCGTATCATCATAACTACTAATATCTTTTTACGTTGCAACATCTTTTATCGCGATTCGCGTCAAACGCGGAAGTCGCTATTAAATTGTTCATTACATTATTTAAATTACTTGATTGCTTGAAAAAAATCTTGTTGGTAATCATAATCGCAAGAGATTTTATCGTAATAAAATTTTCTAAGATTATGAATCTTTTAAAAGTCTGACAAATTTGATTACATATTTAATGATTATATATTTGACGTTTAATATTATACGTCAATCGACATGTATAATTTTTTTTCTCCCATATTGTCAAACCCACGTGCACAGTTTTCACGGCGCGGATAGTCGCGCAATTTTTCATGACAGGAGGAATCACATGTTTAATGACTCACCTATCACCGTATTCGCTGCTACTTCCTTGGCGGCGGCCGCGGCTGCTGCCGGTCCATGCGCCAGGAAATCGCTCAGCGACAAGGACGACGCGATGATCTGTCGCTTCTCCTCAAAGTTGAGGTAATCCAGACTATTGCTGCGCTGCGGCGCCGTCACGATCGTCACCGTTTTCGTCGAATGATGATGATGGTGATGATGGTGCTGCTGCTGCTGCTGATGATGATGGTCCACGCTCTTGTCGTTGCCGCCGTTGTCGGTGGCGCCCGGACTGGTGGGCACCAGGTAGACGCCGCTCACGCGTATAGACATCGCGGTGCTCGAAGCCCGATCCTTGCAGCGACCCCGTCTCTTCCGGCGCCAAGGCCTGAGGATCGCTACGAGAGCCGGCAACGGAGCTACCGGGTGGGCCCTGTCGACGCGGCGCGCATCCCGGTGTTCACCTGCTCGAGAGTTCGGCGGCGGCAGCGACTCGCGTCGTCCTCGTTCGACACTTCTCGTTCGCGGCTCCACGGCTCGACGGTGAGATTCGCGCGCGGCGGCCACGTGCTCGAAAGCGCGATCCCCCGACGACGACGAGACGATCGTCTCGAGATCACGTACGATAGTCGTTTTCGACAAGCTCTATCGGGAATTCTCGATCACTCCGTAGACTAACGGGCATCTGATCGTCACGCTATTATCCCAACAGATGTGTTTTCAGAATCTCTATGACACTTGTCAATTGAACGTGATCTCGTGAGCGGCGTTTATTACATCGAGCGCATGAAGCTCTTCGTTATCGCTCTATTGTTGACGTCGGACCAATTAACTTGCAGACGGAAATTCCTTTTCGGTGCGGGAATGACTTCGTTATTCTATCGAGATGATGGCACTGAGCACTTTAGCGGGAACCAAGATAGACGAAAAATCATCGTCTGTGCCGGGACCCCGGCTTCACGGAGAGTCACTGGCTATTTACAACGGAATTCCACGCGATTGGCACACACTATGGAAAATTACTCGCACTCGGAGGAGAACCGCGAGAGCGACTGGCGGACGTTGATGACTGGAGGAGAGTCGCGTCCCTGCGCATCAGCGAATAAGGAAAAGTTAACTACCAGAGCCACTGCCCGATCGTCATGAATGGCGTGCATTGTGTTCACTCGCGAGCACCCGACGATTATACAACGAACGGCGGACTAAACGATTTTCTCTCAAAAATGTATCGGAAAAAATATAACAAAGATATGATCTGATTTACGTGAAAAACGATAAATCCGATTTCGCGATCTCGTTAAATAGATAAATTTTTATAAAAAATTTGGAATAATTTAATATAATTTCTTGCTAATTTTCAAACGTTAAATGTAATTATTAATTTAATATGATGAATATATAATCGACGTGTGTGAGAGATTAATCAATCCGACTGTATAAATGCATTTATAATTAATTGAAATCGGAATCGAATCTGTATTTCACTCGAGAATTTTTTGAGATTAAGGTAGAAAAAAATTTTTCGCATAATTCGACATGAATGTGAATGAATTTTCTGAGGCATTCGGCAATTGGTAGAATCGTTCCATCACTGAAGGATATCGAAGCTGCTGCTTTCCGTGCGATATGAAACGCCGGCCATCGATATTTAATTACTTCGGCGCGATTTACGGCCAGATTTATGAACGATAAAATTATTTCGAAGGATAAACTGATTGAACGCGTTAATGAAAACGCGATAAAATAAAATAATAACTTTATTCGGCGCATGTGTAAGAATAAAAATCGATTCATTTTTAGCGATATCGCTGTTTATGTTAACGTAATATATACCATTCTCTTGCATGATTGCACGAGGAATGTTCCATTTCTCTGTTGCATTATCTTCGAAATAAATTTAAATAAAGCTTAACGTTACGCAATACGTCGCATTGTATAGCGTTTCGTAAATACTCTTGTTGTTTCCTGGATCCTGTTTACGCGAGCAATTCTACGTCATACTCTATCACATTTAATTAATTAATCATTCCCCCATACTAATTTAGAAAGATACTCCAACAAAAATAAATCACTTCGATAAACAAGAGAAAAGATTTATTCTCTTCGTGTATATAGGTTCTTTTTGTCGCGCCTCGCGACATTTCCTGCGATATTTAACAGATAATTAACCACGCTCCATCACCTATCATTCACACTAACGAGAGATTGTAGAAATACCTACCATTAGAAACACTCACTTTCGTACATCGATCGTCACTCGGTCGAGTCACGTTTTCCTAAGAAACAATTTTGGGACGTGCATTTTCTTATTTATTAAATAATAAACACGAGATACAAGGAAAAATATACGTCGGAATTCGGAGCAGAAAAAGAATACTACGTAAGGTCCATTCACGAGCCGAACGACCGACTAACCTTCAAGGACAAATCGGCGATACTAGGGCGTGTTGTGATTCGTTATACACGCGTAAAAATTTTCTTTTCTCCCGTGCTCTCACACACGATCGACGCAAAATGTACGCGTATAAATGCGTGTGTGATACGTACGTACTCTGATAATCGTCGACGAGGACGATTCGGGCAGTGGAGGGCTCGTTTTTCTCGGCAGGATTCGGAAAGAAGCGTCGAGGCGCGGGTAGGCCCGACGTTATATCACAGAGAGCACATACAGGCGTCGGCTCACCTCCGGCTGCTTCCACGGGACACCTGTCCGCGCCAGGAGTGCAGGTGAGAGGAGAGCGAGACGGCGATAAGAGGACGCAACGATCGTAAACACACGGGAGCGGCGCGTAGTACTCCGATTTTGTAACGCGACAGAGTTAAGGGTAAGGTAAGGTTATCGCGGGAAGAGAGTAAACGGGGGAAGAGAGGATCGAGGAGGAGAATTTAAACGGAGAGAAAGAAAGACACGTTGTGGAGACGGAGAGATGGCCGACCGAGAACACAAGGGAGATTCCAGCGATCCTCTTCGTCGTCGATGACGATGACGCCGACGCCGACGACGTCGGTATACACAACGCACTGTCACGCACACTGATATACACACGGATACGTGCGTACGGCACAAACTCACTGAATGCCGCCGCTGTCGCTGCTGCTTCTTCCTCCTGTTGGCGCGAGAGCGAGGGAGACGGATATAGTTAGGCGGTAGAGGAACGGCGACGGATGATACGGCCCGTCGGTCGCGGGTGTCGGGCGGGACGGATTCGCGAACGGAATTAATTAATTGCGAACGTGCGCGGACGACCGACGTGCGAAAACAAGCGGTCGAAGCGATGGAGAACGACGGGTAACGGCGACGACGACCGCGCCACGAAACACACACCGAGCGAGACTCACGAGGACTGAGAGCGGCCATGCCGATCGCAGCGTCATCTCGCGGCGACGGGACGGCGGTAGCCGACTGCTGCTGGCGGTGGCGGAAGAGGCGTATATACCCTATTCGTTGTAACTCTCTTCTCCAATTAACGTTTATCGCCGGCTTGTCCTCCGAGCGCTTCCTCGCGTTACACACGCGGACATTGACGATTATAACCGTGTGAAAAAATTTCTTATTGTTAGATCAGAGCGATCCGTTTCACAATTTAAGTTGTACAAAATGTAAACGCGTTGTAAAAAGACCGAGGAGTTATAACTGTGCACGTGGGTGCGCGAGGGAGATTGTAAATTATTCTTTCTTTTTTTTTTAATTTAATTAAAGAGATTGTAAATTATTCTTTCTTTTTTTTTAATTTAATTAGATATATTTTAAAAAGTTTGAATTATATCTCAAACCTCGCGTATTTATCTTTTATGCTCTTAACTTCGGGATTTATTTCACGTCAGAGATCTGTTTATCTGAGTATCGATACTTTGCTAAGACACTACAATTGTATGATTATTTATCTTAAGTAGAATGGAATGTTGATGTATTGACACATGTAAATAAATATGCGTCTTCAAAATTTCATGTTTTTCGCTTTTCAAAGACCTTTTTATTTAAATTTGATATTAATTTAGAGATTACGAGCGGACTTTTTCCCTATAGCATTATAAAATAATATATGAGAATGCAGTCGTTATAATCCCATAATTAAAAAATGTTAAATTCTCTCTTTTCTCTGCCTGTAATCTCAATCATTGTATCATGTTTGTAGTTACGAGCTACAACGAATGGCAAGCGAAAGTTGCTATTCATATCAGATGATTTTATCAATTCCACGCGCTTTCTTAAATGAGCACACGTATGTGCGTAAGTCATGCGTAAGTCTAGGAATCGAGATGACAATCGTGGGTGTGGCAAGTACGAAGCGATGGATTGGTGAAACAGGGAAGGATGACGCGAACATAGTGCATTCGCCGTAATTTAAATGAATAAATACGCCGACAATGAGGCTACAGCTATTTTTTACGAGGTGATAATTTTAAATGTATGTTATATAACTTACAATAAGACACCGAGGAATGATGACCGACTAAATCAGACGAACCACATAAAGGATCTCTCTCCCTCTCTAATTTATTTTGAAATACATACCTGAAACAGAAAAATAAAATTTTGTTGCTGAATCTTTTTCCTTCCAAACGCGTGGAATATTAATTCACGATGTAAATATAAAGATAATTCTTATGTAAATTAAATGCATTTGTGGAAACTCTCAATTAATTCGCTGTTTATTAATCACGAATAATAATAATAAATTAAAGATATTTCGATAAAAAATTTTGCTGATAAATTATATCTAAACTGAAAATTGAATTTTTTAAGCATTAAACTTAAAAGACTAGACAAAACTCGCTGTCGTAAAAGCTATTGTTAGTGAGCGATAAATCGAGATTACTGTGCACAAGTTGTACTTTTTTATTTATTTCATGTATGGTTGTAGATCGCACATGGTGTGGGCTAAGCTTTATTTTTGCAGACTGTCGAGTCGCATTGCGAGGATCCAGACGGATTTTTTGATTGAAAACGGTGGGCGGAGGCGCGAATATTCGAATTGTCAGACGGCGGATGTAGTGTGACCACGTGGTATTTCCGAGACGTCTAGACTCGCTAATTTAAACCGACTCGCGGATCTCTACCGCTCCTTTCGGCGCAGTCTGTCACAACTAAGGCTTGAGATATGAGAAATATTTCGCACGCGGAGAACGGAACGAGAGTATCGATTTTGCGAAGGTCGCTCGGTTAGAAAGTATGCGCGCTACATGCGGATGCACGTCAGTAATCAATAGTAAGAGATACAATCTTTGAGTAACATGCAATCGATCCATGAATCTGTATATTTGAATCGTTAAGGATCGTAAATATTATCAAATTATTGGATCTTTTTAAATGTGCGAAACATGCACTGCAACGTATAATACTTATGTATTATACGCAAGAATACTTTTGAACCCCATTCCAAGAAATTATCATATGAATGTCTTCGCTATTAAATCAAATTACCTCTTAACAGAACACAGTTCTTTTTAATTAAACGTAATGAGTTACGCGTTCGTATAAATAATTACAAAACAAAAACTCGCAAATTTATATGTAAATGCGATATCGGACCTGTTCTCGCTTCAAATCGCATCATCTCGCTTCATCCGCGATGCGTCTTACGTAACCGCGAGATATCGCGAACGTAAACCTTGTACACATTTAATCTATGCATATTGCTAATGGTATATAAGAATAGCTTATTTAGAAATTATTAGTTATTATACACATTACAAGGATTGTGCAAAAAACAGAATGTATGCACGGCGGGTGTTCTGCTGAGACATTAATGCGGACATTTATTTTTTTTCTCTTATGAAACTCTTTTTACGTACCACGCATTTCTCTTTCAAATTTCGCCGTCGTATTATATATCATTATTTTCATATAAATGATACAGCCAGAAATAGAACAGATTATAAATACACATCCGGTTATACCATTTTTTTTTTAATATATCTCATTTCGGAGATATATATATATACATATATTATCTTTTCGATTGAACACTTGCATAAAATTTATCGATTTATTTAGTATGTATCAACAGGTCAATACTGCGACGCAAAATGTTGCATTGTATCGCAGTTCAGCGGTCAAAGAACTCTGGATTGTGCAAAAAACAGAATGTATGCACGGCGGATGTTCTGCTGAGACATTAATGCGGACATTAATTTTTTTTCTCTTATGAAACTCTTTACGTACCACGCATTTCTCTTTCAAATTTCGCCGTCGTATTATATATCATTATTTTCATATAAATGATACAGCCAGAAATAGAACAGATTATAAATACACATCCGGTTATACCATTTTTTTTTTAATATATCTCATTTCGGAGATATATATATATACATATATTATCTTTTCGATTGAACACTTGCATAAAATTTATCGATTTATTTAGTATGTATCAACAGGTCAATACTGCGACGCAAAATGTTGCATTGTATCGCAGTTCAGCGGTCAAAGAACTCTCGGTCTCTCGCCGGCGCGATGGCAAAGGTCCGCTCGCAAAGTTAAGCGAGCTATATAAACTGTCCTCTGACCCGTCTCATCGATCGCTATAAATTAAGGTCAATCTACATATTTCTAAAAAATAACAATCTGTCGGCGAACGACTTTATGTTCCGCACTTAAAAAATGCTCCGCCGGATGCACAGAGAGATCTTTGGAAAAATCTTCAACGCACATAACGATTTATTAATCAAACAAGAAATATTAAGAGATCCATAAGGATTAATCTTGACAATTGTCTACACGCGATTCAATACGAAGTTCCGAGGATTCCTCGCAGCCGTCCATTTAAACGTATTTCAATTGCAATAAAGAATGACTCTCAGCTGACCCGAATTATAAGACAATTTACCATTAAATGGCTGAGACGTATAATTAAAGCAAAGTGACAGTGCATCAGAGAGAGGCGTCTCGAGCAGCTGGCGGTCGAGCATTTATGCGGTCCGACGCGTACTTTCGCGCTCCCCTATACTAAATACAGCTACTTACGAGACACGAACAGTTGTGCGAATTACACGCCAGACGAAAATATCGTTCATAAGCGAGAGAAGTCCTTTCCCGAAATCGCGCACGGAGAATGGCCACTTTGAACGATTTACCGCTTGCACAACACGCAACACTCGTGGGTTATTAGTGCAGATTTCGCCGCAATGTAATTTCTTTTCCGCGATATTAAAGCCAATATCGGTAAATTTTAGAAATGACAACCAATTTCAATTCCATAAAAAACACAAATAATTAATCTTTATTCAAAAATTAATATGTAAAATTTAAGTTTAGCATAATGTTAGATTAAGCAATATGAGCAAAGATTTATTTAGATTACAATATAAATTTTTTTGTGCAATATTGAAACTTTCTTTCTTTGAAAATATACCTGCGTCATGAAATTATGTAAGACTCATTACAAGTATTAATCAAAATATAAAAGAAAAAAATGTTGGCATACTTTAGTCTCTTTGCAAGATGAATTTACTCGCATCGAGGTGGATGATGCCACTTCTTCTTTTTTCTCTACCTTTAAAGGTGAACCGCATCTTCTCATAGGGAAGAAGACGCAGAATAATAATCTTCAAAGGAGATACATACGATAGAAAGAGAAAGGCGGCATGCGTGCGCAAGCACAAGGTAGTGGTTTGCGTTTACCCATCTTTCTGTTAGGTTGAACCAAGTATGCTTTACCATGAACAACGCCGAGAATACACCGGCTACTAAACGCACTACATAGCGTGTAAAATACGTGGCTACTTGCCAAATATAATCCCAGAATTACAATAATTAACGAACAAGTAAACGACAAAAGAAAAGTCACGATTCATTTTATTCAAAATATCTTGTTAGAAACATTCTTGTTAAAAACAATAACTTGTCACAATTTACTAGAAAATATATTGATGATTATAATTATAAATAATTATAATCATCAATTATAATTATAAATATTGATGATTATAATTATATGATAATTATAAATATTATTATAATATATTTTTTCAAGATTTTTCAATTCAAACATTCAATTGAATAATATGAAAGAACGATTATAAAATATTAAAAATATGATAAGATAATATACAAAATTGCATAGACCGATGTAAATTTAAAGGAACGCAAAAAGTCTCGCGTGAGAAATTTAGGATAACCAAGTTTGTCGCACGCCTATCAGGTTGTTAGCTAACCGTCTGGATAAGATGTTGTTCAGGGCGATAATGACGGGAAATTAATGGCAGGGGAGGGTGAGAACGACAGGCAAAGTATAAGAGATTGCTTTCCTTATTACCGTGTAGATTCAGCCTGCCTTCCTCTATTAGTAGTTACGATTTCGACGGAAATGATTGCGGTAGAGCGAAATTATTGGATCTTTTAGACCGTAAAAGTTTCGTTATTAACATATCCGCTGTCACATGTGAAACCTCTCTTTGCAGATTTGATAAAAATTTGCATGTAATAAACAATAGAACATATAAAATATTCGTCACTACGTTATACGGATTAGTTGGGCGACAAATCGTACATTTTTGCAACTGAGATGTTTGCACGTGACAGTAATTGATAGACTGCAATGCGTCGCATTTATCACGGTCCAGCTGTATTTTATTCGCAACGACAAGTTTGCCGATTCGGTACACGGGAGATTATCGCGAGTAATCGTAACGACATTCTTGGTTACAAATTGCAACCGCGAATGATGAAAACCGTGCTGGTCCATTAATTTCTTTATTTCTCCAGCAAGCTCGGTGTTTCACTCTTTCTTCCCCGTCCGTGTTCAACTCTTTTTCAATGATATCAATCTTAATCAACGTTTCACCGAGTCTCGATAACTATTGACTTTGCGAATTTTAAATGCGTTTCTCGTTTCTCTCATATATTGTACATTGTACGTTAATTTTTTCCATAGAATTTTTCAAGGTTTTATCAATTCACACACACACTCATATAAATTGTTATATTAAAAAAAAAAAAATTATATTTTTATCATAACGTGTGCGACATATATTTTAGATATTTCCTTCGCATTTCGCAGTGTTAAGAGTAAAATTTGATCCCCTACGTCAAAGCTATAGATAATAGAAAAAATATATCCACAGATTTGTTGAAATTAATCGGTGATTTTTATTCATGGACGAATATATCATTTTATTGTCCAGTGTTATCGGGACATCGCACGTCGCTCGAATTGTGGTCATGTATCAGCAAGGCGTCCCTCGCGTTTATGACTCGCACGTGGAACAACGTCAATGCAGTAAAATTAATAGCACCCTCCATAATAATACGCTTGATTTATCCCGCGCTCGGCGTGTTATGGGGACGGATCAGTTTTTTGCGTATCCGCCGCAAATATTGAGCTTGAAATCAACCACGCTTAAAAACTGATGTGGACTGCATGTAAGAGAGAAACAATGCATATATTTTTAAATCAAACAGGTATTTGCTTCGAGCGAGAACCATCCCTTCAACATTCCCTTCTTGATTTATTCGCGACGCACAATCAGTATTGCAATGTTTTATATCTTGTAAGAGACATTATTCCGCGAAGA